TTAAAATTTGGGCTGGACTTACCATCTTCTGCTACTCAACTACTGTTTACGAGAAAAAAACGTCGACGTCCGCTGTGTATATTCTACCCTCTTTGAATCCTATTTGTGAGATTTTCTGAGTATGTTATTATTGTAATATTGTCCAAACATTGTTTACACCTATGAAATTTCAAAGCTCATTACAATGTTTATTTTTAAAATTCAAATTACAAAATTTAAAAAACAGACTACCCCGATATTATTATATTTTTTCTTGTTTTATTTCAGAAGATAAAATTTACAGTGAGAATATTCATTCCAATTCCTGTGAACTCTCGGTGGTATCTAATTAATATGGCTGATAAATTTTATGAAGGAAATACTAATGTATACGTCACGTGAATAACAATGGAAATGAAAAAAAAAAAAATCTTGAAAAATGATGTTTATAATTATAAAAGTAGTTAAACAAAAGAATATATCATCAATGATAAATTATTTAAATTAATCTTTTTGGTATTAATAATAAGTAATTATAACAAAAAAATAAAATAAGAGAGGAAAGCACAACTACAAAGAAGGTAAGTCAATCGAAACCAAGAGGGGAGATTTATATAATTAGTGTTTCTATAATTGTTTTGGCTGTAATGATTTTGTAGATAGTAGATACACGCTTCTAATTAATTGAATGACTTTATTGGTATTAAAAAAAAAATACAAATAACTTCAACGGGAATTCGCTATAATTGAATGACCATTTGATTAAGTTACTCGATACTTATTTTAATCGTCGCATGTTCCTAACTTTTCTTTTCTTTCTTGCTTGATGGGACAAACCTTTCTTTTGTTCATTTTCATTTCAAAAAATTTATTTGAATCTACTTCTTCAAGGAAAAAAAAAATGAAATTGAAAACGGTTGAAATGAGGTAATTTAACATATCTGAATTCAATTTTTACTCTTAGTAGCGCCTAATAAAAATTAAATGACTTTTATTGTACGATCAATGGAACTTCACAAGTGATTCAAGAAACTAATAATTAGTAATAGTTTTTCAAGTTTTTCCCTTCGATATATGAGACTTTAGAATTTTAATAAGTGATTAATACTTTTGAAAATAGTTGTGGTAGTATGACCTTTATGATTGCAAAATACTTTCTATATAGTATTCTTATTAGCGTTGACAGTATTTCTTTAGCAAATTTATGCTATTAGACAAAGTTTTATGTCTAGTGTTATCTAAAATATTTTAAAAATCTCAATCAGGATAAGTACAAATAATGGGGCTAGCTTTTACTTTAATTTACCAATACTAATGATGCAATAACTTCCACCAATTAACAAATATGAAGAAAGTAAAAGTGTTATAAGTAGTTGAAATACGTCAAATAAGAGTTATTAATTTGTTTCATAATATTATTTTTCATCAAAACATACAAATCAATCCATGTTTAAAATTAATAGGCTTATGACTTTATGAATTATGATTCAAAGTTGTTGTAGCGTTGACATTATTCAAATGCCTTCTTGTTGGAAATTTTTTAAAAGAGATAGGTTAGGTTGTTACTCAATAGTAATAAGGAAGAAAGGTTTTGACACTTAATTATATGAGTACTGTCAAACATTTTCATATTGTGGGTCAACTAGACTAATTAGTTAAATCCAACTACTAATTTAATATATTTTTAAACATAAAGCTTATATTATATATAAGGAAAATAAAAAGAAGGGAACATTTTATTTTCCAAGTTGAGTACTTGGTTTGTGTATATTATAGACAAATATGGCTTACCTAAGATGATACTATTGCTAAGCAATGTCAACTTTAATGGGGACACTTCAAATATTAATTATATCCCAAACAAAAAACAATAGTCAATGATCAATCAATAAAATCGTAAGCCACCCCATCATCCATTATAGGACCAATTATTAAAATTACGAGAAATAAACTCATCAATTGACTATCGTTTTAATTATATTCAAGGAAAATGAAGTTTAGATCGATTTTAACTTCAATGATGGAAGACAGGAAGCTTATCAAGAGAAATTATCCCTCGATTCCGAGTTTTTACTATCTTTCATCATAATATTAACTTTTTCCCCCTATTTCCTTTGCCTTTTGCTTAGTTTTATATTATTTCTACGAACAATTGGTGAGCAAAATTTACTAGTGTTTCTAATTTTAAATTTTTCCTACTAAGAGGTTCTTCATTTTTAGGATTTGAGTACAAGATGTCGTCTGATTAACTAAGAGGTAGAGGAATATATCTTAATCATCTCATTATACGTACATTACTCGATCGATGCATAATGCATAATTTTATATTACGTATGTTGTACTGCAATTGATGCCTGTCCCAACCAACGTGTTATATGGCAAACGAATATACTATAACTTGTAAAGGTTTAATTTTTTATTTTTTTTGAATAAGACAGAGATTCTGAATTTGTTTTTCCTGTCATTTTCATATCTTTAGCTAAATTAAAAATACAACCCCTAAAGATTTCCTTGCAGTAGGTATTGTTTATCTTCTTTTTGCTGGCATATTGACTCTTAAATTAATTCTGATTTTACCAGGACATATCTTTAATTTTCTATAGTGCCAAAATACTATTAGTCTCTCTGTCCCAATTAATATGATTTACTTTCATTTTTAATCGGTCTAAAAAAGAATAACATATTTATATGTTTAGTAACAATTTAACTATAAAATGCTTATTTTAACTTAAATGAAATGATTTCTAGCCACATAAGTTTATATGACTTATTTTAAATGAAAATTTTCAAAAATCTTTCTTTGTTTTTTTAACTCTTTACCAAATTAAAGTAGCTCATATAAAAATTGAGACCAAGGGAATACTTTGTTTTGTTGAAGAACGTACAGTGGGTGCTTGATTAATGACTTTCACTGTCTGACTCTTGCATCATGATATGATAGGCTTCTTGAGTACTTTCACCGTGAACTAAATTTACATATTTTTCAGAGTACTTGTAGATAGATAGGATGGAGACTACATAAGGATAGGGAAAGTAGGGGTAGAACACAAAAATATACTACTAGTAGTAGTACATATCACACTCTCTTTCCGTCTTAATTTATATGACACTATTATACTTTAAGGAATATAACGACTTATAAATTCGTGATTTAAAATAACTCATCAATGTTGTTACTTAATATAGAATTGTGTCATTTCTTTTTTGAGACCGAAAAAAAAAATGACTCAGAGACAAAGAAAGTAAGTAGTAATTACATCATCACTACATAAAATAAGAAGAAGATAAAAGCTAGTACTAATTCAGTGGAAGCAAAATAAAAGCTTTCCATGAATAAATTCTATTACAAGTACTCACACCTACAAAATAAAATTAAAATTAGCCCCAGTACCCTACATTGTTACATCCATTGCCATTGCTAGAGCTACTACTAATCAACTCCTTAACTTCTTCAATATTAGTATGATGATCATACTGGAATTGACTAGTTTGAAAGTTATTCCCAAAATATCCATTTGCCTTTTGATGATCATGATGATCAGCCCAAGTACTACAATAATTGTCAAGTGTAAACTTTTGGGTTTCTTCAAAAGGAATTTGACACATTATTTCCTCATTTCCATAGCTAATTTGGTTGCAACTTAGCCCATCAGATAAGGAACAAGAACTAATTGCTTGCATGGGATTCATTAAGCTTTGATCATGAAAATTATAAGAATGTTGATTATTTGTACCTAATTGAAAGTTCATCATGTTATTGTTGTTGTACATGAAATTTGGTTGGACTAGTGGAATGGGCTCTAGATATGAATCTCTTAAAAGATTTGAAATTGATGCTTGGGATTGGGTTTGGGGTTGAAAAGTTGTTTGAAGAGTGCTTGTAGGAGGAAACAATATATTAGATGATGAGTGAATAAAACCTATGAACTTCTTCTTAAGCTTTGTGTTCCAATAATTTTTTATATCATTGTCAATTCTTCCGGATTATTGAGCTGCTATAACTGACCACCTGACACATAAATGTACAACATTTAAGTTTATATATATATGTTAACCGTATAAATAGTTTCTACACTATTAATTTGATTTAACCATCTACGGATAACATGAGTATATATATCAAACATGTTGCGAAAAGTTACATGTTATTCAAGTTAACTTATATAAATATAGTGTAAAATATCTTTAAATTAAAGTACCAATATACAAAATTTAAAGTCAAATTCATAAGATAGGAATGTTAAACCTTTTTGTAATAACGATTGTTTGGATATTTTGTGATTGTATAGTTAAATTTGTTGTGGAGAACATATAATATAACATGATATGAAATATCAATTCCAAATTAAAAAAATCTTGAATGTCAAAATGAAATAAAGATCTGACTGCATGTACTTAATTGAAAAAGGAAAAATTTAGAATAGTTTCAACATTTTTGGATTTGTGTCCTATGAGGCGGAACCAGGATTATGAGTAATTTTGGATTCTAAATTTATTCTAAATTTCCTTTAAAATTGATATGGGGGTTTGAACCCACAACTCTATAGTGTGAAAAATATCTCCACGGCCACTTTCTTACCACAAAATTATCAATCAATTTTGTTAGAAGTTCACAAGTTAACGAAAAAGCTACTGGGTTCATTCGAACCCATGAACTCCACAAACTCCACCTAGCTCCTCCTAGCTCCGCCTATGGTGTCCTAAAGCTGTATGTGTGTAATTAAAGACTTGATCCAAGATCTAAAACTGGCATGCATGCAGAAGAAATGTCTATGGAGTATTACTTTTCTTTTTGAGTCTTAATATTTATCTTTTAATTTCCCTTTTTCTACACCATTGAAGTTCTTCTTTCAATTTTTTAATTTAATGAGATTTATTTTAGTCTCAAAAGTCATATGCAAACACATGATAATTGAAGAAATTTAAGGGGCACCAAAGGTAGTAGATAATTAATTAGTGACCAAAACAGAAAATAAAATAAATTGGAGAACTGTTAAATAAGTTTGGCTTTAAAAACTAACTTGTAACGTGCTTCCAATTCTGGCATATAAACTGCATATAACCCTATCTTCCTCTTCAGAAAAATTACCATATCTTATATTTGGCTTTAGATAGTTTAGCCATCTCAATCTACAGCTCTTTCCACATCTCTTTAGTCCTGATCCAAACCATAATCTCATCAAATTATATAAACAACAAATATAAAAGAAATACATTTCCACATGCATAGTCATCAATATATAGCCGGTGTCAAGATTTGAACTTTATTGGTTCTAATATTTTCACATGTACCTCCTTATTAGAAGTAGTATCAAGTTGTAATCGCGTAATTTCTTTTTCTTCGGTACTTATTATTGTCTGTTACTTCATTTGCTTTGGTATCCTGTTATTTTTATTGTCTTATTTATTTTTTTGCAATCCTGCTTCGAATGCTTCTTCTTTTTTGAGTCGAGTGTCCATTAAAAACATTATTTTTATCCTATAAATGTCAGGGTAAGGTCTACGTACGTAGATTCCATTTATGATATTACACTAGATATGTTGTTATATTTTAGAATGTCCATATATTGAATTAGTTTCCTAATATAAATATAAGTTACTAGGATCGACCGAATCCGTAGGTTTAGTCTCTTGTAGCTGCACCATGCCTGATCATCAACACACAAAGAGATGAAATAAAATTAAAGAAAGTATTTTTATTTGGTTTTCTTACCAACTTTTTGAGGAAGAGCAATCCAATTTCCACCTGTACCATATTTTTCAATGAATTCTTTAAGCTTAGCATCTTCTTCAGGTGACCATGGCCCTTTTTTCACATTAATCTTATCACAACAAGGAGATCTTCCCATTTCTAGTCTAGGTAGAGAAATGTACAAGGACTCTTATTCTGTTATTTGTCTTATATAAAGAGTGACTTGGGATTTAGAACAACAAAATAAAGAGATTAAATTAATTAATTAAGAGGTACACTTTTTTATAATAATTAAAAGGTATACAGGTCAAATGGATAGGCCTATTTCTAATTTTTTTTTTTTTCAAATAGTTTTAATCTCAAATACTATTGGAAAGGTCTTAATTTATAAACTTTGCATTACTCTTAACCTTGTAATTCAAGAATCCCAATTGTTTCATGTGTTCAGATAAAATAAATTTGCTTAACTAATTGATGATTGTAGCTTGATTAATACTGAATAATTTGACATCTTCCAAATTACTCCCTCAGTATTAAAATACTTGTCATAATTTTCTTTTTGAGAGTTAAACAATCTGAACTTTGATCAATATTTTAAGATATAAAAAATTATAATTTATAATATTTTTTGTATAATTTTTGAATATTCAAATTTTAGTTTTAAAATATCGGATAAATCTAATCTAATTATTTAACTTTGAAAATTAATAAATGTACTTTTAAAAAGTGAAACATGACAATTGTTTTAAAACGGAGGGAATACTAAGGTATATTAATTGTAACTATTACTAGTAGGAAAAACCAATTACTATAAGAGAGACACTGTACAAAACGTGTGAGTAATCCATGTAGGATGGAGCAATGTGCTTCCTCATATGATTTTTGAAAAATTTCAAGATAAGCTAACTTTTCATGTTAGATTAATTTTTATTTTTTAATCATGGTTTTGAAGTCGGGATTTATTTAAATTTTGGCGTATATTGAACTTGTATACATATTATAAAATAAAAAGAGCGTCGAAATTGATGGACAACTTACAATTTTTTTTATTTAACATCAACGAATTCAAATATATCGGAGAATGGCAGTACAAATTCCCTCGGTTAAAACAAAGGATCGTCTGTCGATTTCCTTAAATTAAAAATTGATATAATTTTTTGGGAAAAAACAGTAGACGTCGAAGGTTTTGTTCGTCGATTTTCATCAATATAATTTAAATGTAGCAACTTTGAATTGAATACAAGTATTTTTATACACATTGAACAATTCAATCCCTAGACTACATATGTTATTTGATAAAATATTTTTGTTGTTTATAATTTATACTCTTCCACGGCAGTTTTACACTTGAAAAATTGTTGGATTCCCTCAGTTTTTTTTTTAAAAGAGGGTCTCCGTTGTTTCACAAAAACAAGATTCAATTTATTTTAAAAAATAATTTTATGTTAAAACAAAATAAAACAAACAAATTGAAACGAGGAGAGCATGAAAGGCAAGCACATGTTGAAATACAAATAGATTTTCTGCTAAACCTTTTCTGTAGAGTCCTTTTGTATAGTGACATATCAAAATAATTACATCGTCCTCTCTCCTTTAGTCATATTGATACCAGGTAAAATTAATTCATTGGTCGTAAATGAATGTGCAGGTTCTTTTAGATTAATTGACTCATTAATTAACGTTATTTCTTGAATTGTCCCTTTTGCACACACTAGCTAGCTAACTATAGACAAATTATATTTACTGCTCCTGATCAAACATTATTGGAACACTTCTAACATACAATTAATGAACGTACCTTAAAAGTTCTACTGTAATATGAAATTGAAGTAAACCAACAACCAAAAGGACTAATCGAAAAAAGTTTTCTTGGAGGGGTATTCAAAGAATATCGACAAATTGCACCAAATTCATAAATCAAATTAAATCAAGATATTTAAAATTTGACTCTCTAGCTCACCTCTCTCCCTATGTTATGTATTTTGTATTTTAGAATTTATCTAGTGTGATATATATTCATATTCATAGACTATCTCGTTCGCTTCCCTCCTATGTAGCTTGTTTCTCTCTATTTCAATGCATCTGGTAGCAAAAATACATGTATGTAAATGTATCTAATTTAAATATGATATGAAATTACTAATTAGTGAGATAATATGTTATTGTTTCAAAATATAGGAATAATTATTCCCTCCATTCCATATTAATTTAATTTTTGAGGCATTTTTCATTTTTCAAATTAACTTAATTGTTAAGTTTTCAAGACTACTTTTAGAGTGTTCTTCCAATTTTACCCTTCATTAGTTAGTATTGGAAGTAGTGATTAATTAATATTTAGTTATTTTAATCATAAATTTGACAATAATTAATAAGGGTAAAAATGGAAAACTATGTTCAATTTATGTCTTAATCTACTTTTCTTAAAGGGTGTGAAACACTTCAAAAATTAAATTAATAAGGAATGGAGGGAGTAATAAATATAGTAGAAATGTTTGTTTGATTAGGTAGTTATGGGTTCACGGATATTGTATTTAGTGAGCCCATTTAGGGTGTCTCGTCCAAGCCTAGAGTTTGTTCTATCTTGTTATTTGTGCTAGAATTTGATGCTTTTGATATAGGTTCGGCATTGTAAGTGATATATGGAAAAAAATGATAAATATATTCTTGACTTATCATAAATGGTATGTCAATATCCTTCGTTGTACTTTAAGGTTATTCCTATCCTTATCGTCAATCTTTTGGGTTATATTCACCCTTGTAACAAACGGAGGGTCACGTGTTATTATCTAAACGGTCTATCCAAAATCAATTTAATTTTTAACCACAAATTAATAAAACCCACCCATCTACCCATAATCTAACCCACCCACGACCCGCATAACTCAAACCTTCGATTCTTCCACAATTTTTTTTTCCGTCCAGCAATAGTTCTAAGGTAGGAGCTTAGTCGTCGCCGTCCTAATCTGCTCCAACTTGCACCTTGTTAGCACATTATAAGTGATTACATTCACTAATTTCTGGTCAATCATGGTAGCCATAGACATACCCATCATTGCCGGTAAAGAACACGACAATTTTGATGGTTGTAGTAGGTGTTTGTTCTTGTGTTCCATAGATTTAGTTTCAGTCTCTGCTACCTTTTCGGTTGTTCTTTACGAATCTCTTGTTTGGATGGTTTAACGTGTGTTCTCTCTGGTAACCCATTTAAGATCTATCAATTTTTTCTCTCTGGTAAACCATATGAGAAACCATCTAAGAACTTCTGTTTTCTTTGGTGAACCATATGAGAACTTGTGTTCTCTGTGGTAAACTATCTGAGAACCATAGGTTGATTCTTTTTAAACTTCCACTGATAGCTTCAATTTACACATCATTAAGAGCAAATATACTGAAAAAATGAATTATTTTTCTTCATTTTCAGGCTCTTTGGCTTGTTCAATTTGCTTCTCTTCTTTGATTTATTCTTCATTTGTGTTGCCGATTCATGTTGGGAGATTGTGAAATTCATTCTTGATGGTTCAAGTGAGTGTCATTTGTTTTGAGATCCATGAGGAGGCATCAAATGATTCAAAGTCGGATTGCAAGGGACCAACGACTAGGTTTCGCGGGTTTGAAGTTGTGAAAGGTTACATATGGATGTAGTTTTCAACTGTCAGAAGTAGCGACATAGAAGTCGGCGTGTAGGCATTTGGGTTGGGCTGCCGGATTATTTTCCGGCAAAGAGTAAGGTTCAAGTATGAGAAGGCAACCGGAAATTATAGTATAACGAAAGGTATACGCTTACCATTTACGATAATTTGGGACAAATTTATCCTTTTCCATGATATATTGTTGTATAATTTGTTGGATAGTGCTAAATGCATGGTGTTTTGACTTGTGGAAGCTGCACTGTTCGGCTGGTGGATGACAGAGCTATGGACGAAACCAGGAGAGCACAATCAATCCAATTCAATTCGACATAGATTGGGTATTATCAATGGACTGATAAAAACAATAGAGAGGCTCACGTTTGAGTTTTCTTTGAAAATGTAACTAATGAGAAAATTAAGTGATATTTACCTTTTTTGAAATATTCTCTCTCTTAGATTTTCTCAATTTTGTTATTAAATAATTGTATTCTTTCAAATTAAACAAATTTAAAAAAAAAACATAAATCAGATATATAACAAACTAAAATATTAACATTTTTAATAAATATTGAAAATGTAGCTAAGGAATCCTATTAAAATGCTAAAATATTGACATTTTGAAAATTTTCATATTAATTTGGGGTAGGGCCGATTAACCATCACGTAATCTTTACCTTGCTACAGGATGGACTTTCTTGGGCCTTATTAATTTGGGCTGGGCCCATCATCCGTGACAGATATGCTACTCAATAACAATTTTTAACGACAGCACTATTAGCTACAAATTATAAACCCAAATTCATTGAATTCTACTTAACCAGTGCTTCCGAAGATTTACAAATGGGGTTTAGTTCTATGAGGCTTACTTACTAAGCATCTGAATGTACGTTTTAAACATGTTTAACGTCTAATGTTCGGAGCTTGCTTAATAGATCTTACATAAATTATGTATCGAATTATTTAGTTAACATTGTTGACCCTCATAATTCTTTTTAAAAATGAATAGTAGTTAATAGTTTTTTCATAGATAGAAATAAGAAGATTAAGAGTGACTCAAATAACAAATTATAGTATTACATATTTACTAATTGAGAACACGGTTGAGTGATTGGGTGAATAATACTCAACATTTGTTTTAAAAATCAAATATCTAAATTTTATTCTTTATCATAACCATTTATTCTGAACTCTAAACACATTACCATAATGGATAATAATACTCCAATCTTTTTTTTTCCTTCCCTAAGATATAATAAGATCAAACACGTCTATGAGGAAGTCATCCCAATTTACTAGTCTTAATTGGGCTCTTTCCAAGAAAATACTTTCTATATAGTAGTCCTATACTCCTATTAGTGTTAAAATTAGTAGTTCTTTATAACTGTCCTCTACAAATTAACAAGCATGAAAAAAATTAAAGTTATTTTAAGTAGTAGAAATACGTCAAATAAAAGTTGTTTGTTACATGGACTATATAATAATATAATATATAAATACATATAAGTTGACTCGTGTTTAAGATTAATTG